CCACTGTTTTCGGAGAGTGGTATCAGCTAGAAGATAGGAAACCACGGTGATCCACTGTTTTCACATTGTGGTGGAATTCTCTGTTTTTCGCCCCTATCTTCTCGGACTTCGTCATCTGTTGGTCCATCCCCTGTTTTGGTGCCACAGCCGAATGCGACAGGAATAATGATTAAGCAAAAGCTGGTACACTCCATCCACGTCATCCACTGTTTTGACTGTAAGGAAAGATCCACTGTTTTCGGAGAGTGGTATCAGCTAGAAGATAGGAAACCACGGTGATCCACTGTTTTCACATTGTGGTGGAATCCTCTGTTTTTCGCCCCTATCTTCTCGGACTTCGTCATCTGTTGGTCCATCCCCAGTTTTGGTGCCACAGCAGGAATAATGATTAAGCAAAAGCTGGTACACTCCATCTACGTCATCCACTGTTTTGACTGTAAGGAAAGATCCACTGTTTTCGGAGAGTGGTATTAGCGAGAAGATAGGAAACCACGGTGATCCACTGTTTTCACATTGTGGTGGAATCCCCTGTTTTTCGCCCCTATCTTCTCGGACTTTGTCATCTGTTGGCCCATCCCCTGTTTTGATGCCACAGCCGAATGCAAATCCCTTGCTTGAATACTTTTTGTTTTCAGATTAATGTCCAATTTTTTTTTTCTTCGTAATAGAAAGAGCTTAGATCCCAGGCTGTTGCTAATTTTTGGGCAAAGATCAATGATTTACAAAAGAAAACAAGACTTGGAGAAGAAATGTTTAGATGCATTTTGAAGGATTTACTGAACTAGTAATTCACTACAGGTTTTTGATATGAATATCATATGTGTTATATTTGCTAAATAACTTTACAGTGCAAAAACAGGAATAATGATTTAACTTACAGACTGAATATAATTTTCAAGACGATGAGGATGTGACCAGTTCGTTTACAGAAGTTGATATAGACTCTGTCAGTGATGCAGATGAACGTTCCAAAGAGTGAGTATTGACGGTTTATTGCACTTTAAGATTGCTTTGTATTGACTTTTTTATCACGTTTCTTCCGTGTAGGGAGTATTACGCAGATATTGATAAAGGCCTTTGGAAAGAAACTTTTAATGGTAAAGAGGATCCGAAACCAAATGGTAGGTATCGCTACTTATGTTTATTATAATTAACATCGCATTTATGTTAACATTTAATTTATGTGGATAGGACCAGAATCTATTGGACTTGATATTTCATTTCCGGGATTTGCTCATTTATATGGCATTCCTGAACATGCATCAACTCTTTCATTAAAATAAACTCGGTATGAAACATTTGAGTAACCATTGATTTTTTATTCTTTTCGAATGACAATTTATTTGTTATTTTATAGAGGAGGTGACGGCGCCTACACAGAACCTTATCGTTTGTATAATTTGGATGTGTTTGAATATGGGATGGATAGTCCGATGGCTATTTACGGTTCAATTCCGTTTATGATGGCGCATCGAAAGGATTCATCGGCTGTTATTTTTTGGATTAATGCTGCCGAAACATGGATTGATATAACTAAGAATAAAGAGGACAAGGTATTGAATATCATTTTACAAAACTAGTAGTAAATTAATATGTTTCTTAATTCATTATGTTATTTTATCTATTATCCAGCTTGCTTGGTTTTAGTAAATTGACCCCTACTTCAACCAGTACTCATTGGATCTCGTTTGTTTTTCTTGGTCCAACCACTACCGATATCTTTTATCATCAATATGGATTACTTACTGGATTCACCGCACTACCTCAACATTTTGCGATTGCTTATCATCAGTGTTGTTGGAATTACCTCAATCAAGAAGATGTTACTGAAGTTGATGATGGGTTTGACAAACATGAGATTCCATATGATGTTATATGGTTAGACATTGAGCATACCGATGGGAAATAATATTTTACGTGGGACTCTGCTAAATTTTTAAATCCTGAAAAAATGCAACGTGATATTGGAAATAAAGGAAGAAAAGTACGCTTTTCTTTAGCTTTTCTGAGGATTTTATTTAACATTGATACGATAATAATATGTCATTGATCCACATATCAAGAGAGATAACAACTTTTATATTTACAAAGAGGTTAGTGATTTAGACATCTTTGTCAAAGAATAGTTCGATACCTGGTGTTGGTCAGATATGTAATTTTTTTAAGGCTTTACACGCATATCGTATTATTTTATTTATAAAAGTTTATGCAATATAGGTAGCTCCTCTTGGGTAGATTACACTAATCCTTCTGCTCAAGATTGGTGGATCAAAAAATTTGCATCAGATCAGTATAAAGTATGTCGATTTTAATTTCATTCACTATTTAATTTTAATATATATATATGCCATAGTAATTAGCCATCTTTTAATACTAAACCGAAAAGGGTTCAACAGAATAAGAATTTAAGCTATCTGTATTTAGTGGCCCAGAAATAACAATGCCAAAAGATCTTATTCATTATGGTGGTTGGGAGCATCGCAACTTACACAATATTTATGGGATTGCCTATGTAATCTCTTCAGAGCAATGTTTTGTTTTCGATATGAACTAATAACGACACTAAATATTATCCAGAAACTCAAAATTGCAAAGGCCCGAAAACTTAAAAGAAGTTGTTGACCCAATTAGTGGTTATATGTTAAGGTTGCCATCTTCATGAGAGTTTGTAAATGGATACTAATATGTAGAAAACGCATCATTAATTGTTTCAAATTCTGTTATTTATAATAAAGTTTGCACATAATAGGTTTTTTCTACTTCTGGCTTTTATTCTTTAATGTGTATGTGCATTGGAAAATAAAAGTTCGTATTAAATAATATGTTTGGCATTACGAAAAAACGATATGATTTAATTGTCTAAACCTATCAAAATGCCTTGAAGACCTAATTCCGGTACTTTATGTAAAAACAAATTACTGCTCAATACTACGCTCTCGTGAAATTCATATCACACTAATATACAGTAAAATTATAAGTATCCCCCCTACCTTTAACTTTTTAAATCAAAACTTAAAACTTTTACTATAAATAGTACTAGATAAATCTAGATCAGTAAAAAAATTTTTTAATTTTTTAATTACTATAACAAAAGTTAATTAAATAAGGTTTATAAATTTTTTTGCTAAAATTAGAGCCATTAAATTTAATTAAAAATTAAGAGAATTGCTAAGCCGGCTAAAGCAGCCGCGGCTAAGCCGGGGATATATGCAAAAGATCTGGGTCTGACTCAGGTCCGATTTGGTCTGTTGACGAACTAAATTCAGACCTATAATTATCAATACCTATATAGTTTTGGATTTGTACAAAGATTTGATCGAGTAATATCTAATCTGAAATTATTTGAATTTAAGTTAGTTCAAATAAATCTAGGTTAGGTTTATTTGAACTAACTAAAGCTTAAATGAATCTAGATTAAGTTTATTTGAACTAATGTAAATTAAAATAAATCTAATCTGAAGTTATATTATATAAAATAAGAATAATTTAATATTTAAATAATTCTGTAATTTAGAAGGTTAATTAAATTAGATTTCTAAATTACAGTATTACTTAAATATTAAATTTTAAATTAGACTAATTTAAACAAATCAGTGATTTAATTGTGTATGTAAATTAAATAAATATAATATGAAGTTCAATTTGTTAAATTTTTTTTTTTTTTTTACTTTATACAAATGCTATCAGCTAACTTTATTTTTTTTTTTAATTCAGCAATCATGCCAAGACTTTATTTAGTTTTGCTTTCCATTTGAAAACAACATTATTTAGTTATATACTACAGTCAACCCTGGCTATAATCACACTCTTGGGACCATAAAAATATGTGATTATAACAAGAGTATGATAATAAAAAATTTTTTTAAAAAAAAAAAAAAAAAAAATAATAATAATACAGTAATAATAATTTTAAACCAATAT